TTTTTTTTGGTTTTTTGAGACAGGGTTTCTCTGTGTAGTTTTGGTGCTCTGTAGACCAGGCTAGCCTGGAACTCACAGAGATCCCTCTGGCTCTGCCTCCTGAATGCTAGGATTAAAGGCATGAGGCACCACCACCAGGCGATTTCTTTCTCTCTCTCTCTCTCTTTTTTTAAAGAGGGCACCAGATCTCATTACAGATGGTTGTGAGCCACCATGTGGTTGCTGGGAATTGAACTCAGGACCTCTGGAAGAGCAGTCAGTGTTCTTAACCTCTGAGCCATCTCTCCAGCCCCAAAAGACAATTTTCAAACAGAGGAAATTCTATTTGTATCACAGACATGGGTTAATATGTAAAGAATTCCCAAGAAGTAAATAATAAGAAGGCAGTTACCTATAGGAAACGGACTAAGGCAAAGGAAAGTTTACAAGAAGAAAATCCAACAACAAAATGGCTCTTCAGAGACTTTCAAAGACTAGGATCTCTCAAGAGAACACAAAGTAGACATAGCAGCAATCATAAAATTGGGTAATGCTTTCTCATGGCAAGGACTGTGGAAAAGAAACCCTGATGTGTCATGGTAATGTGACGAATGCATCCATGGAGAGGATTTGGCAATATCTATCAAAACATTAAACAGTTGAACTCCTCGATGTTGTATTTATATATCTATATCTGTATAAAATAATGATTATAAATGTTTGTTTAAAAAGGTGAAGTGCAAATGTGAATTTAACAAGTTGTAGGTTTTTAACACTGTACACAAACTCCTTTGCTACAAATAAATATTTATGCTTCTAAAAAAAATAAAAAAACATTAAACAGCACATCACTTTAACCCAAAAGCTCCACTTCTGGGAATACAGCTTATAGACACCATTTTAAATGAGTTAGGACTGAGGACATGCTCAGTATGGAAGGCATGAGGACCCTAGTTCAGATCCTCTAGACCCACACACACAGTCAGACACAGGAGCTTGCCTCTGTAATCCCAGCACCCCTACAGTGAGATGGGTGTGGAGACAGGACTCCCTGGAAGCTCACTGCCAGCCTAGTGTATAAAACAGTGAACGAGAGACCCCGACCCTGTCCCAGACAAGGTGGAAGATGAGGACTCACACTCAGGATTGTCCTCTGACTCAGACTTGGGAGCCGGCATGCGCTTTCCCATACTCATGTGCCAATGCGCACGTGCATGGATGGACACACACACACACACACACACACACACACACATACACACACGAAATAATTGTTCAAGAGATTTGTTGCAATGGAAGGAGTGGTAGAGGGGAGGGATAGATAGGGAGGGGAAGGGAAGGAGCAGGAGGGGAGGGAGGGGACAGGAGGAGGGGCTGGTAAGTGCTCTGTCGACAGAGCCACACAGGCCTAACCCTGAAAGGAAGGGCTGGAAGCATGCGGCTTGGAGCATATGATTGTACAAACACGGTTTATCTCTTTAAAACAGAGACGGACACAGTAGCACACAGAGCACCCCCTCCATGGGTTACAGGAAGGCTTCTCTGTAGTTGACCGAGCACAGATTGTTCTTGAAGCAGAACTAGAACCTATTAGTCAAGGGGACACGTGGGAAGCCCTGGTTGCACAACCTGGTGTTTGCTAGAGCCAGCCAGGAACACATGAGCGTGAGCGCTTCAGTGAATGGGTGGTGGGGCCCTAGGACGGGGTGAGCTCACCTGGGATGGGAGATGCTGGGCCTGGCCCAGAGCACCCACAGTAGAGCCCTGATGGAAGGCATCCCAGGGACCAGGGCGTCAAGGAAGCTGGGGGCGGAAGGTGCTCTGAGAAGGAAGGTGTGACCCCATGACAGCTGCCTCAGAGGGTCAGGGATTTATGGCTGTGGGATTTAGCCTGGTGAAGGTCAGCGTGACCTTGACAAGTCTTTTCCAGGGACAGAAATGTCCCTGATGGGCTGAAGAGTGAGCAGGGGGTGAGGAAATGGGGGCGGGCGGGAGTTCAGCTCTGAAGTGCAGGGGAGTAATACGTGATAAGCAGCAGGTGGCAGGGGCAGGGTCCCCCACATCACCCAGAACATTAGCAGAGCCATCTAGAAAGCCCCAGCACCGCCCAGCCACAGTGCTGATAAGGGCCATGTCCATAGCAAGCACATTATCACCTCATCCAAAGCCGACTTCACTGAGGTCTCTGGAGCTGGCCCTGTGACTTCTGTGTGGCCCTGAGCACATCACTCCATTTTCTCCTTTAAGGGCAGAAATGATGAGAAATATTTCATTTGTATGCTGTAAAAATGGTAAGAAGCACATAGAGGAAGCAGCCTGGTCCCAAGTGCACAGCACAGGGGCACAGGAATGCCTCTGGGTAATAGGACACAGTAACGGGTCCTCCTAACATTGGGTGCCTTTTGTAGATGAGAACTCGGCACCGATGGATGCAGGCCCGGCAAGTGGGGTGAATAATCACCAGGGTCGGGCAACAGTCATCTCTGTCTAGACAGTGAAGCCTCGGGCAGGGTTGTGACTAAGATCTGGGGATCCCTGGGGAAACACTGGGTTTCCGTTCCTGGGATGCTAGGGGCTTTCAGGATCCCCATCCTGGCACGCAAATGAGACTCAACATTCCTGGTCCCTAGAGCCCAGTTCAGGAGCTCCTCAACCACAGGCCTCCACCCTTCCCAAGCTCTGCCTCCCACCTTGCTCCACACACCCTTGGGCAGACTGGATCTTCTGAAATTGCTCCAAGCACCACCCTTGCCCCTAAGAGTTCTCTTCCGGGTTGCGTCCCTTCCAGCTGCCAGCACAGAGTGTGAGCCCCGCAGGACTGTCACAAAGATACATCTGCGTCCCTGCAGATTGTCATCAAGGAAAAAGCAGAGCAGGAAAGCTTCTCTCCCTCCCCCCCCCCATCTCCGCCCGCAATGTCCCAACGCAGGGTTGAGACCTTGCAGGAGGCAGTAATCCAGATGGGCGGGCCACAGGCCAGGGTATCCGTGGTAACTAGGCGTGGACTAGGAATCATTTATTGCCATCCGTCCTGTCACGGCACTTAAGAGTTTGCAAAGTGTTTTCATGCCCTAATGTCATTGCAGCCTTTGCAACAACCCTGTCAGTGGCCATCAATGCCCCCATTCCACGCAGGAGCAAGCCGAGGCTCTCGGATCTGCAGCTGCTTCGGGATTAGAACTCGCACCCCTGAGGCAACTCCAGGCTCCTCCCCCGACCGCCCTTCCTCCACGCTGCCTCTGGCCGTGCTCACCACAAGCCTCACTGGGGCTACAGAGCTAGGCTTGGCTCCGACCTCGTTCCTCCTCTGAGGTGGGTCTTGGGCACGAGGGGCCAGACCCCCACGGTGGCAGCGCCGCTGAGCTGACGGTAAGTACCGGGAAGGGGCGGCGACAATCCCGGGCACTGAGCGCCCCTCTCTATGGTGATCCCCTGGTGGGCTGGACTGGAGCCTGCCCACGCGGCCAGGCTGGGGGTGGAGTGCTGCCAGAAGGGCCGTGGAGAGGCGCCTTAAAACAACTCTGCCTGCTTCCCACCCACCCCCAACTCACACGCGCGCGCGCGTACACACACACACACACACACACACACACACACACACACACACACACACACACACACACACAGGTATTCTGGACCCGGTGGTGCCCCCATCCCAGATCCACAAGCTCCCAAGCTCCCAAGCTGCCTGGAATGGAAGGAAACTAGAGGTCCCGGGGCCCAAGTGAGGAGCTCTACCTTGGGGGCCAGCCACAGTGAGGGGTAGAAAGCAAGAGATGGATAGGTTCGGCCCTGCACCTGGATAAAAACGGTTGTTCTGGCAGCTGGAGTTGGGGGGCAACAGGGGATCCAGAACCGGCTCCACCAGTCCGCCACACAGGCTAGGCGGGAAATTCTTTGCAGGTGAGTCTGTCTCCGGGTGTGTCTTAGGAGGGACTAGGCAGCCTCCACCAAGAATGGGCATCCCCAGAGGGGGCTGCTGCAGCCTTCGAGGGGTACCGGTGGAAGGAACCCGTCTCTTCCCCCTCCCTCTCCCAGAGCACTCCCGGGAAGAGCAGACTGGGCGGGAACAGTCGCAGATTCTTGCAGCAAACCAAGATAGGAGATAAGGAACAGGGTTAGTGACTTTACAGAACTCTTGAGTGTCCCCCAGCTAATAAGTGGCAGTGTCAGGTCAGAACTAAGGTGCTAATCTGTGGCCCTCCCTAGAGGTCAGGACTTAGAAAGTGCCCGGAGTTAAACCCGAGAGGGTCTTCGTGAACTAGGGCTTCCCAGTCAGCCCATCTTGTCCAGAACGGAGTCTCAAAAGGCAGGCCCGGTGGAAGGCAGCTGAGGAAGTACGGGGATCTCGCTCCTCCGCAGTCCTGCCCAACCCTCCCACCGCCTCTCTGCAAACTCAGCTTTCGCCTGTTTACACATTCAGCGTGAACTGAGTGCCTACTGTATGCAGAGCGAAACCAAACTTGCTGCAGCTGGAGAGTCAAGCAGGCATGCTAATTGGACAGACAGATGATAAGTGAGAACAAAAACAAACAAACAAAAAATGAGCAAGACTTAAATTTCAAATTGAGACTGAGCCCTTCTGAAGGGAATGGGAGCAGGCTGCCTGGAACAGGTTCAGACCTGAAATAATTTGAGAAGAGACCCTAAGGGGATGTTGGAGCAGAGATAACTAGGTAATGAGTAGGGTCCAGCCACTTAAGGCTCTAGAGGAAGAGCATTCCAGGCAGGAGGAATCAAGGCAGGGCCCAAACGGAGAGCAAGGTGAGTGTGTGTGTGTGTGTGTGTTTGGGGGTGCCGGTGACAGGGTTACGACTCTGGGGTTGGGAGTTAAGCACCCTGAGAACTAGTGAAGTTTTAAGAAGGAGGGAATGTAATCAATTGTGATGTAATGGGCTCCAGAGAATTGCTCAAAGGCCAATGAGGGGACTTGTGGCAAGAATATGGGCGAGGATGACGATAGCCTGGGCCAAGGCAGTGGTCCAGCCTCGGAAGCACTCTCGTGCGCACTCAGGTCCACGTGGGCTTGGGGAAAGGTGAGGTACGCTCACACCCCTACCCACATGCCAATCCCAGGTACACTCAGCAGGTCCACCTGTGAACACCCTCTGAGTCACCCAGAACTGGGAGGAAGATGAGATGGCCTGACCCATCGGCCCTACAAAGCCAGGGTCAACAGCAAACCCGGGGGTGGCTAGAGTCCCCCAGTCCCTGCTGTCTCTCCAGCTCATCTGAAATGCATGCTCTCCCAGGAAACAGACCCCAACCCCTATGCACCTCCCACCGGATCCAAACCTCCCGGTCTTTAGCACCCCTGACTGTGCGACATTAGCAGGTCTTGGAGAGGGGAAGGTGACTGACTGGCTGCTCTTGCTCTTCCAGAGCACCTGGGTTTGATCCCCAGCACCCATGTGGCAGGTCACGGCTATCTATAACTACAGTTTCAGGGGAGCTGATGCCTTATTCCTGCCTCTACCAGCACTATACAGGCACCCATATGGTGCATAGAAATACATGCCAGCAAAACTCATACACCTAAAATAAAATTTAAATAAAAAGAAAAAAAAAAAACGTTCCCAGGCCTCTTCTCCTCTTCCAGCTTCATCTCCTCTTTGCAGAATAGGTTCACAGCGCCAAGTTCACAGGAGGCTTTGGAGACATCAGTGAGCGAACAGTTTTCAGTATTGGGGCATGGAGCTCGGGATGTCGCTCAGTACTTGCCTAGCATGCCCAGGGCCTGGGGTTCGATCCTCAGGA